CCAATTCATGGGGCCTTCCTGAGGGACTTGATGGCCAAATGCGTGCATTCCCTCAGAAGTGCATCTGACCTGCATTTCACTGCCCTCTAAGCTGCTTTTCCATTGACTTGTATGGGAAGTAGAGCAGTTCTCATGCAAACAGATGCACACCAACACAGGACAGTCCTAATACTGGGTGAGGATTCCAGAGCTAGACTGGAAGAGCTAGATGTGAGTAGACATGGGGGAAAGTCGTGATTACAAAGCCCTAGGTCTGGGTCAGCCACTTACTCACAGTTGTGACTGAAGACTCTTGTGGCCCTTTTTATCAGATCCCTACAACCTGACTGAATGCAGTAGTCCCAATAGGCACAGCAATTGAAGTGACCATACCAGGGGGTGGACTGACAACTCATGGGTCCCCCGGGCAATAGGGGATCATGGGGCCCCTGTGTCCTTGCCCAAACTCAAAACAGCCTATGAAAAAGGTACCAGGGGCATCTCATGGGGCCCCCTACTGAGCCTGGGCCCTCGGGCAGTCCCCGAGTTTCCGAATGGTCAGTCCGCCCCTGGACCATACTGAAGTGATGCACGTAAAGGCAGAGTGGGGCCATAAGGCAGGCATAGGGAGTGTGGTAGGTTTGCAGTGAAAGTGACCGGGACTCCAGCTACCACAGTCATATTTTCCAGCACAGCAGTACTATGTCAACACACTGTGCTGTGACAGCACTAGGCAGTTCACTTCCCCTTATCAAAGTCTTGATTCACTTATTAATCCATTTAGGAATGATTTGGCATCAATGTCACAATCCCATAAATAGACGACTCTGTTGACAACAGCACACACTGAAGAGGGGTTTTCTGCTGCCGAGGCTTATAAACATGGCGTACCTGTTGAGTTAAGCTAGCCATACACGTGTAGATTTTCGGACAAGAATATTCTGACGAAAAGTCGTATGAAAATTCTTTGAACATTCGGTGAATGGACGAATGTCTTCCGAAAATTGTCTCTTGCTTTTAACGTTCGAGTTTAAAATGAATCATTTCTGAACGATAACCACATATACTGATCGAAAATTAGTTTGATCAAGGAAAGTTTTCCTTCCTGCCCCTTTGAATTTTCCCATCACTGCAGTTGAAAACAAACATCTAATGATTAGAAAATCAAACGAATATTCTTGAAACAAACATTCTGGAATGAAAATCTATACGCGTATGGCCAGTTTTAGACAAAACCATTTCATGTCCTCCTAGGTGCTAAGTAATTCCAGGCATAGTAGCCATCCTGGAATTGTGCACATTCACCAAACATTTGTCAGCAACATTTCCCACATTAGTACCACTTACCATATGAGTCAGGCAGTATGTTCCTTGCTGCTGCCCCATCTGATTGCACATGCCAGCTATTAAGCAGGGAAGAAGCTGTACCCCTTAAGACCCCATGCATGTTGGGTGTTTGGCCCTGGTGCATTGAGCTCTGGCATTTCACTGTGGATGGAGGGCACAGGTTGGCCATCCAGCCCCCGCAGGCAGAACGGCAAACTCTATAAGGCTCCGTTCACACCAGAAACATGGTGTGGGAATCCTGTGTTCCGAGTACGTTTCTTGAACTGTGTTCAAAAACGCACTTCAGTTGCAAACTGCAGTTGGTGCAGGGGCAGACTGACAACTCATGGGCAATAGGAAATCATGGGGCCCCTGTGCCCTCGCCCACACACAAAACCAAAAAAGCGTACGAAAGGTACTAGGGGCATCTCATGGGGCCCTCTAATGACCCCGGGCCCTCAGACAGGGCCCGAGTGCCTAAATGGTCAGTCCGCCCCTGAGTGGGTGTCAATGTTAAGTTAATGACACCCCAAACGCAGGTCACAGATACATCTGCACCGGATCACATGGTACAAGAAGTACAATACAATGCGGATACACTACTTTTGGTGCAGTGTGGTGCGATTTGAGCCCATTCAAAATGAATGTGTTCAAATCACACCCCACTGAACCACATGTTAATTGCACAGGAAAGTACAACATGTTCTTGTGTGATTCCTAGTGTGAACTGGCTCTTAGAGGCTATGAGCTGCTACGGTCAGACCATCATGGAACAATGTTTGCCCTTTTCCTCTGTTCGGAAGTTTCCTGTAATGAAGACCGGTCTCTGCCTCTGTCTCTCTTTTTGCAGGGTGACTGGTCTTGTCTCCGCTCCTTCCTTTAGTTTTCTGAACGCGGCCTGTAGTGGGTGGAGCTGTTGCATAAGCTATATACTGAGCGGGGATGATATCACCACTATTTTAACAATTAATATTACTTGTGGCTATTGAAATATATTTCAATGAAAGTTTTTGCCCAGATTTCAATTTTAAAAAGCAAAAGACAAAGTAATTAGGAGAATATTTCATTCATTATAACTAATTAAAAGTAATTACGGTAGTTATTTTGGGTTACTTATCAAGACACCTCTATCCCTACATTTATATAATATATAGAATATGTATGTGTGTGTGTACAGTATGTATGTGTCCACGCAGTTTTTACCAGAAACCAAGTCAGGCAAGAAAGGCAAAATAATCTTGACTGCTATCCCGTCAATGAATGAAAGATGAGCAACCCAAAAAGGACTTCAAGGAAAAGGAAAAATTAGGAAGATGAAAGAATGCTTTTCTACATTGTTTTCCTAGGATTGTAATGGTATTTCCACACATTGAGTAACAGTATATAGTTTAATTGTGTATGTGGTCTGAAGGGTCCGAAGAGCATTGATTCCTAAAGCAATTTTGAGGGAGTCTTACGTATTGGTGAACTAGTTCAAGAGTCTGCCCTTTTATTAGGACATCCCAAGGGCCATGGTGATTTATTAAAGATTTTTATACCATGGCTCCTAGGGATTAGGACATCCCTAGGAACCATGGTGATTTATTAAAGATTTAAAAAAAAAATTTAACTGCAGTTCTGCTTATTGCAAAATAAAGAAATTCAATTTAAAATAATACCCTTATGAGTTTGTCAATACATTTTTTGCAAATTAAATGTCCTTCACAACTACTTTGGGTCCAGATGAGAGAGGATGATTCTGTATTCTATTTTACACTTCTAGAATGTGAAGTCCGGGCTTAGGAGAGACACCCCATGATTCTGCTATTACCTCTGTTGGCCACAAATACCTCATCTGCACCCCTCTCTGTTCAAAGCCCCGTACACATGATGAGAATATCGGACAAATGATCATTTTTTGGGTTTTTCTTTACATGCTAGTCTCCATATAAAAAATGAAGAGGTTACTCAATTTACGAAAACTCTCATATGACAGCATAGAATTTCAGAAGTGATGTAATGTATTGCTTTATATTTTTATTTTATTTTCAGGTGAAAACTGTACTGTTTAAATGAAAATCAGACGATTTGGTATTGCGTGAGAAAAAAATGTTGTGTTTGTCCCATCAGATAATGGCGGATGAACTGTCGTGATCAGCTGTTGAAAGCTGTATACGAACGATCAGATTATTGTACAATCGCTTCGAAAGAGGTATTTTTTGTACGATTTTCTGATTGTGTGTATGAGGCTTCAGTTTTACTTTATTACTGGAGCGTGACTATCCCTGACAAGCCCTCCTGTGATTCAGTCTGCCCAGGCTTTAGGTCGAATGTAGGAGCTATAAAGCACACTTTTTTTTTTATTGAGGAGATATTTAAAATTTTAATCAAATGTTAATTGGTAATGTTGATGGGTACCCTACTGATTCATGTGAAGGACTAATACAGCTTACACATTTGTGCTGTGTCAATCTGTGTTTGCAGTACCGCAATCATTAGCTGCTAGATAACCTCTAGGCTATATAGATACGCTTTATTGTGTTCACAGATTATGGTACTGCTTGGCCAAGTGAAGGGCCATGACGGTCATAGCATAGGGGAGGTGGAAAATATTAAAAGGCCACTCCTCTGACTTTTTATAGTAGTTTCTGTACGTAACACATTCATAAGTACTGCACAGTTCATGCCAAGGGCTAGGGACCAATTTTTCTTACGGATACCTAGGATATCCATAGCATGATTTACATAATTATTTCAATTGTAAGTCTATGGGTTTTATTTTACTTGTTTTGTTTTGAGTTTTTTATTCTTACAATTTTGTTTTCAACTTTTAAACATCAGACTGCCATTCAGAAGATCACTGCTTTCTAAGCATCTAGGAAAAAATAAGAATTTATGTTGCAAAATTGATGAAGAAAGAAGGAGAAAACCCTACTAAATTTATACCTTCTACTGCTTTATATCTGACTTCTTCATATTTTTGCTTATTTGTTGCTTTATATAGCCCTACCCTCAATAAGGTTGAAAGGGAACCTGCTATGAGAAGACATTGTGGTTGTCATTGATGACCTCTTCTTGTAAACACACGCCATGCTTTAGTACTTTGAGTCAGTGCTCAGAACAGATAATTACTTTTTTATTCTGCCAGTCAGTAAACTAGCATTTTCAGAAGGTAATTAACTATGGGTTACCCCCATATATAGACAATAATTTAAAGCCCAAATCCAGCTTAAACTTTTTTTTTGTTTTGCCAGACAGTTAGAATGTCCTTCAGGCTTTATTACTGCCCGTGATTCCATCAGGGAGCTCTCCCCTCTCTTCTTGTCCCTAGGTCAGGAGTTACATAATAAAAACCTGACCCTTTACTGAAAAAATGCTATTGTCTGTGTTGGAGAAATTTACCATCATTCCCTGGCCTTTTTGATGTCTAGTAGTTACCATCACACATACCTTCTTTCAGAACATCTTTTCCTGCCCCATTTACTTTTAAATCAAATGTCATGACAAGAACCATTACACTAAACTAAGAGGGGTCGATTTACTAAAGGCAAATAGACTGTGCACTGCAAGTAGGACAGCGCCTCTAAATGTGTACTGTGAAGGTATTTAATAGAAAGAAAAGTAGTAACTCACATCTTAGAATTTAAAAACGGGCTCATGGGTAAGAGGGTGAGACGTCTGTAGCCAGATGTTGTGTGTCTGATCCAGAGAGAAGATCGATTGAGTCCGTCAGCAGGTGGTGCTGTGCATGTGCAACATGGTTGGTAAGCCTGGTGGAATCTCCAAGGTGTCTGCCAGCAGACCTGCCCTGCCTGATGAAAGAGTGCGACCTGGACTCATCTTGTCCTGCACATGCTCAGAAACACGTTGCATTTTGATGACGTCAGATGCCACATGTGCTGATCCCGGACATCTTGGAGACTCTGCCAGGCTCCACCATCCATGCTACATATGCACAGCACCATCTGCTGGCAGACACCTTGGAGATTCCACCAGGCTTACCATCCATGTTGCACCTGCTGACAGACTCAATCGATCTCCTCTCTGGTTCAGACACACAACAACATATGGCTACAGACGTCTCACCCTCTTACCCATGAGCCTGTTTTTAAATTCTAAGATGTGAGTTACTACTTATCTTTCTATTAAATACCTTCACAGTACACACTTAGAGGCGATGTGTTTCTTTGTTTTCCCTTCTGCAGAGTCATGCTTCGCTCCTACGCAGCTTGCCCTTAGTCCCTACTGGACTACCTTCACCCCTGCCCATTTGGAACTCATCAAACGTACATGGACTGCCACACCATGCGCCTGTTATCCCTTTTGTATGTGCACTGCAAGTGCACTCCAAGCACACTTGGAAGTGCACTGAAAGTGCAGTTGCTCTAGATCAGTGCTGTTGCTCTAGAGGGGAACATACAAGAAAAATAAAAAAAACTGCATTTTTGCTTGCACATGATTGGATGAAAGAAATCAGCATCTCATTTCAGAGCTTCCCTTCAGATATGAAGCAACTACATTTGCAGTGCACTTAAAGTGCACTTGCGGGTGCACGTGTGGCGCACTTGCAGTGCACAATATATTAGCCTTTAGTAAATCAACCCCAATGTGTCAATAAAGAACCATTCAATAGCCTTTTGTGCATGCTGGGTAATTCCTGCTACATCAAGGTCATCAAGAAACACAATGAGTAAGTATTTTCAAATAGGCACACTCAATATACTAAAGTATTGTTGATTACAGGAATTATACAGCTTGTATCACACAAACAGTATAAAATATAACTAGGTCTATAGTGTATCTTGTTTTTCTTTTTTTCTTTTTTTTTTTTTTTTTTAAACTCTGTCAACTGCCTAACATCACACACAGGCAGGGGCAGACTGACCATTTGGAAACTCGGCACTGCCCGAGGGCCTGGGGTCAGTAGGGGGCCCCATGAGATGCCCCTGATACCTTTTTCATAGGCTTTTTTGAGTTTGGGCAAGGACACAGGGGCCCCATGATCCCCTATTGCCCGGGGGCCCCATGAGTTGTCAGTCCGCCCCTGCACACAGGGATTGATTTACTAAAGGCAAATAGACTGTTCACTTTGCAAGGGAACTTTCCTCAGAGCTTTCTGAATGTGAAGTTTCACTTTGCAAAGACTACCCAATCATGTACAAGGAAAATAGAAAACAATATTTTTTCTTTCATATGATCAGGTAGAAGTCAACAGAGCTTCACTTCATTCAGTAAACTTTGGAGAAATTTACCTTGCAAAGTGAACACTCTATTTGCCTTTAGTAAATCATCTCTACTGTCTACTATGTGTATATAATTGTATCAAACATATGAGGCCTGTTGGTGTTATATATCTCTTTGCATTGTTACTGGAAACAGCAATGCATACTTAGAAACTGGGAAACAGGGTTTGAGGTAAGGTGAAAGTGATTGTAAACCTTTTTTTTTTATAAACATGCCATGTTACCTGCTCTGTGCAGTGGTTTTGTACAGAGCAGCCCCGATCATCCTCTTCTGGGGTCTCCTGGCGACACTCCCCGAGCTGTGCTGTCTGTAGCTATAGACACAGACAACACAGCCTGGCCTAGTCCCGAACCCCCTCTTTACAGGCTTTGATTGACATCAGCAGGTGCCAATGGCTCATGCTGCTATCAATCTGTCCAGTGAGGAGGGAGAGAGAGTGGAGAGACGTTGCTCTTGGTCACAATGCTGGAATAAGATCAAGCTCAGGTAAGTATAATGGGGGGGCTTGGGGGGGGAATCATGGCATAGAAGTTTGTTTTTTTTTCACCTAAATACAGAGAATGTATTAATGTAAAAAACCTTAAGCCCTTAGAACCACTTTAACCAGGAGGCAATGTTTCATTTTCAGATGAACTTTCACCCTACTCTACTATGGCTGAAAAGTCTGAATTAGATAAGCAAGTAAAGCTAAATAAAAGACCAAATATAAATCTTTCAAGAAAGCGTATATAACTATAATTTTTTTTGATTGAATGTTATATTTATGAAAGCCTAGTCATGACTGGTTTTCTTTTTTTTTTATACTGCTGTGTGTATAGATAGGTCCTCTTAAAGTAATTGCACAAGCTTGTAAACCTCTGACCATAATGATACTCATTATCTGTAATTGGAGAAAATGACAAATGCTTTACACCTTCGCTTATCAAACCTCATTAAGATAAATGACCTGACCCTCTAATTCCATGTCCTGGCACGCCCTAATGAGGAGTGCCATATTCCATCATTTAACCCTTTCTATCTACAAACAATGCAAAATTGGATCTGGTTTTGTTTTAATGTATTTGTTGGATACACATTTTTGCTGTAACATATGCTTCACAAGAAAACCTCTTATGCGTACATCATTAACAACCAAGAGCAGTGTTGCAGATACGAATATTTGAAGTCCAATATTAGAGGCTTCACAGATATAGGGTGCAAAGTTCATAGAGTTGATACATTTGTAGGGTGAGATCTTTGGAGCAATGGCAGCAGAGACAATGTGGATGCTTCTTTCATTGGTGTTCACTGTCTTTTATGTGTGCTGATTCAGGTTAACTCTTTAGGCACAGCGATTAGGAGCACCAAGTGATCCAGAATGTTCAGGATAAGCAATCCCCCATCAAAGTGCAGAGTATATTGGATATGTACTCCTCTTGGCTGGATTGTATGTTAAATATAAAATTTGTTTTTGTTTTGAACGCATTAGCTGCAATGCAGTAAAACTGTGTTATGCAGATTCTAGAACTCCGCTGTGAAAATTCGGCTGTGTTTGACGTCGTCCTGCTGAGTTTTGCGGTGCTGCTTCCACCAATAGTTGATGCTTATTTTTAATGAATTATCATTCATAGCTGTTAACTGAATTTCATTCCATGGACATCCCCAAGTTAGACTTATCACTGGAAATGTCCCTGATATTTAAGTCCAGTTTGAGTCACCTTTAAAGCGCTGTGTGCTTTTCTAAGATTTGAATTTATTGGAAAACCACATGTATAATCTGACAGCTCTTTCTATTCATATTTAGTAAACCTTCCTGATCAAAAACATAGTACACTTCTAAACATTGTAAACTGTATATATCTACATGACAATGAAGGTACCCAGAGACATAAGACAAGAATCTATTGTGTACTGGTGATCTAGACAATAGTTTGTGCAGTTGATTCCTCCATAAATATACCAGAAAATATATGCTATCTATGTTCAGCTATATGTCTTTACTGTAAGGCCCTATGAATTTATTTCATTTTGCTGTTTTAAAATTGTAAGACCTTCTTGAAAAGTTAGTGGACATGCAGTTGGCAAGAAAGTTCATTTGTCATTGGTTGACCTCCCCATAGAATACTGGCAGATGATGTCTCAAATAATCCAACCCTGCTTTCAACATTTGAGCAGATAGGTAAAGTTTGGGTTGGTTATTTGTGACCAACAGGTTTGCGGATAGTGCCTCTCTAATGGGTATCTCTAGGTATACAGTGATTGCATATTGTCTGTGCTCTGAAAACATTTTTTTTTTTATTTCATTAAAATGTAATACATTACTCTCCCTTAATTTTTGCTGACTCAAGTATAAATCTTGTTTCTTCAAAGTTTGTAAGACACCTCTCAAAATATTGTCAGCAGTATTACTTCACTTATCTAACTTCAGTTTCACTTGGCCTTATTTCAAAGAGACAGGATTCCTGTGCCTTGCTTAGATGAATTTATCACAGAATAAATAGGACTATAAGACTGACACGCACAGGGGTGGATGGTATTTCAAGGTTGTAGTTATGACAGTATTGTATTTTTTATCTCTGGTCCATTCCATTACAGTCACATGATGCCTATCGCAGATGATGGAGTCCATGATTGTGTCCAGTAATAAATGATCAGTGATGATATTTCTGAGGTTTCCCTCTGATGACATATGATTCCTGATGACATATGATTCTGTAGGGTTAGTCTTTATTACAAGTTGTGAGGGGTCAAGCTAAGCACAGAGAATGCTGCTCGGTGTTTCCGCAGTAACAGGCGGATTTTCTCATCATCTGAATCAGGATCTAGTGGTTTGCTGTATTCATCATCTTCATTCTCTGAAGGTGTCAGTTCACCAGGAGCTCGGGAGCAAAGGGATGGTTGGCTAGTGGGGTCTATACTGCTTTTTTTACGCCACTTAGTTCGCCGGTTCTGGAACCAGACCTGATAAGACAACAATAAACATCACAAGATCTGTTTATCCATCTGCCTTTATTTCTAAAGAATATGTTTCTGTATTAATAATTGTAATTTATTCTCTTTTGAGATTAAGAGGGAAATTATCAACTTGTATACTACATGTAAACAGTTCATAGTAAACTTGACGCAAAGTTCTTAATATCAAGATACAAGTCAAAGGGGCACCCTTAGCTCCTGTTCTTCACAATAAGAGCACAAGCTTTTTCTATCCAGCTTTGTAGATTGCTAAAAAGGGCTGGATGGGTTTCAAAATCCCCAAATTATGACTAATAATAAGAAAAAACATTGTAGATTGCTCTGGAGAGTATCCCATTGCCTTAAGGAATCAGGAAGGATTTTTTTTCTCTGAGGTTTAAGCTGTCTTCTGGATCACCAGCAAGTTTGTGGTTCTGATTATGCAGGTTTCTAATTCATTTATGGTTAAACTAGATGGATTTGTGTTCTTTTCCTAATATCTATCTCTATCTATCTATCTATCTATCTATATCTATCTATCTATCTATCTATCTATCTATCTATCTATCTATCTATGTCTCATTTTATATGACAAAAGTGAGACCTTGCATGTCTGCTATTACAGGTAAGTACATTAGGTCTATTGATGATACAGTACATATGACAACAATACAGAAATTTATCTCTCATACTTAGTATAATATTTCCTTCACCAGAAACATTGTGTGTAAGCACAGATATACCGACCTTGACCTGAGATTCACTCATGCCCAGGCTGAAGGCCAGTCGTGCCCTTTCTGGACCCGCAAGATACTTTGTTTGTTCAAAGGTTTTCTCTAGGGCAAATATTTGATGGCCCGTGAAAGTGGGGCGAGTGTGCTTCTTCCTTGAGGACATATCTGTATTTCCTGTTGGGACTGACAAAACAAAAAAAAAAGAAATAAATTGTGTGGCTGTATTGTTGGCAATCATCAAATTGAACAACGAGCATCTATATTGTTTAAGCACCTTAAAGATAACTCAACTCTAATGTTTTAAATTTTTTATTAGAAAGCATATTGACCAATGTATTTATACTTTGGGAAATAATTTTTTAATATTTATGTTTATGTTGTATTAACTTTTGCACAGTGAATGTTTTTACATGCCACTATAAGACGCAGATAGTAAGCCAGTAGGTGTACCTTAATAGGCTTCAGAAACTCTGCAGCGCAGAGTGTTGGTGTTTTCTCTCGTTTTTAAATTCTTACAATTTGTTTAGATACTGCTTTTTTTCTTGCATGCAAAAAATAATTATGCTATTAAAACCATGTTTTAATTTGAGAAAGAGGTTATTTTTAATACTTAGTCCAGCTACTCTTTACTCATTCAATGCTTTTCATGAATGACATAAAGTATATATGACCATTTACATTTGCTGGAAATCTGCAGCATTCTTTTGCTTGAAACTGTTAAAATATCACTTGAGTGTGTTGCTAGCATTGTCCAGCTTTTCATCTTATTAATACTTTATATTTATTGAAAAACAGAATGCATATGTTTTCCTATATGATACTCAACCATATTGTGTTCCCTGCCTTTTATACCAGGAAATGTTAATAAACGTCCCTCCAGAATGTGTGTAGGTGTAGAGCAAGTGCCACCTACATCAGCAAATATAATCTTCTATAGGATTTGAACCACCTTTACAGGTCATAAATACTTTAGCGTACAAGTTTCTACATGTCCTTAATCATTTTCATGCTTGAAGTTTCTGTTTCTATTAGTAAGAATAGTTTGTTTAATAACACTCCATTATATCAGTATTTCTTCCTTTTTCCCCTTTATATTACTGGCATTTTCATTAAGATTGTTAGCTCATACAGGAATGATTTATTGCAAGTGTTGTCCTTTATATTTTTATCTCTTTAAACTTTCATTACAGCACAGCAAAAGTCTTTGAAATGTATAAATCAATAACAATATCAGCATATTACTCACCATTACTGAGTGTCCTGTTTCCTGCTCTCCAATCCTGTCCGATATCCGTCCATGCAGTCTGGCCTTGTGTGCTGTATGGGTTTCCACCTTTAGCTATGATACCTGTTTGCTCTCCAAAACAGCTCCCTGTAGTTGAAGCTCGTCCATAAGCTGGGACAGCAGGGTATGCTGGAAGAACCCCACCATGTGGAGCAGGCAGGGGTCTGCTGAGTATGTCTGAGATGCCATGCGGAGTACCTATAGGGAGATGGCACCCCAGTACAGAACTGCTGAGCTTGTGGAAGGTAGTGTGGCCAGCGAACTGGCAGCCGGGGGATTTAATGTCAGTGTAGGCAGGCAGCATAAAGGCTCCAGGATGGTGTGTCTCCATAGTTGCAGTGGTTTAGATTGCCTGTTCTTGTGAGATTGCACCAGCAGTAAAGCTGGGAAACTCTTCAGGTTGGGTCAAACCCATGAAAAGGCTCTGGAACCAATTTAGTCAGTGACTCTCTGCCAGATTCTGGTGGAAGCTAGTAAAGTGGGTTTAATAGAATTCCAGAGAGACTGATCGGACTTTCAGGAAATACGTACTAGTTTCCAGGCTTGTCTATTGACCTGTACTAACATTCTCCCTTGTTTGTCCTTACTTCTGTTTGTCTGCCTTCTCTGGTCTACATTTATTATTCCATATCCCCACTTTCCCTGGGCTGTTAGCTCTTCTCGCCACCCTCTTCTTCCCTTTATTCTCCTTTGGCTTTCTCTCACCTTGTCTTCTCTCCCTGCCCCACTCTCTTTTCCTCACTATCTCTCACTCTATCACTGTCTCTCTCAAAGTCTCATTTCTCACTTGCCTTGCTCCTTCCGTGTCTCTCTCTCCAGCTCCCTCTTTTTCTACTTCCCTCTGTCTTAGTCTCTCCCTCTATTTTCTTTCACTCCATCTCACTTGTTTTGCAATCATCATTTCCTTTGTTCACTTTGCCTTCTTCGATTTCTCTTTCTATATTCCCCGATGCTTTCTCTCCTTCGCCGCCAGCTCTCGGATCTTTCTCCAAAACTTCTCTCTTAGTGTGTTTCGCCTTCCAAGTTCACCTTCCTGTTCTTTTATTTTTGTTCTACTTCTGCCTTTGATCCGGCAGCACTATTAACTGTCCTTTAATGGCTACCTATAGAATCTATTTCCCCTCCTCTTCAATCTCTGTAAGTTTTCTTCTTCTTATAGTCCTTCTCATCGAATGCAGGTGAACCTACACTTCACATTAACTCACCTCCTCCCTCACCCTTGCAGCTTAGTTATTGGCCAAGGTAAGGGGGGGGTGATGGCCAATGATTGGCCGCTCCCTACAGCCTTCGCACCCTGCCGGACGTCCCTAGATAAATTGAACTTTAAGATAGGGAATTAATGAGTTTGATTTTTTTCCACAGAGATGTTTGTCCACAAACTAAAGCTGCCTATCCCCTCTGCTACAGCAGGATTTATGGCAAGCTAACAGATTGCAGTACACAGCCCAAGAACAATACATTTGGAGCCTTTGTCAATTGAAATTCTACTTTTTTTTTATTTTTACAGTTTTCTTTTGTTTAACTATTTACAATTTTCTATGTATACGAAGCACCATTTTCACTTCACGTTATGTACCTCAACTTTAACCAGAAATTATTTATATGACTAGCTGGCATATCTAGGCCAATTAAGACACAATGACTGTTAAGACTGATAACAGTCTACAGAGTTGATATGTGTTAGGGAACCAGTGATAATTTGGAGTTTTTAATGTCTCCTCCTAATTATTATTGACCTGCTGACTTATGTTGGGGTTAAAGCAATGGTGAAGATTTGGCAGAACAAAATGCATTGATTGTATATATAATAAATGGACAAGAAAGAGCAGAGTAGTAACATGAAGGTCAGGGATAACGTAAAGGCTCCTGCCATGAACCCCTGCTGACGTTCATTCACACTTTGTCCTTCTTGACTATCACCTCCAGTCCCCTATTTATTTATTTCATCCTCACAATCCTTCAGTGAAATCTGCCTTCCTAGGCTTTTCTGGGCATTTTTTAAAGAGCAACTCTAGTTTTTTTAAAGAATTTAAGTTTTTTAAAGAAAGATCAATTTAATATGAATAGTTTTAGCAGTCTATGCTATTGTTTCCATGTATAATTTGTAATTATATGTGTGCATATTTGCTTATTATATTTGTATAGTTGTGCTACACAATCATTCTGTCTTATTTCTCCTCTTATTTTACAGCAGGGGTACCAGACAGGGTCTGTCTGATCGAAAAGCAACAGTCTGTCTACAGTTTCTATTGAGGTAGTATTCTCAGTGATTCAAATAGCCAGAGATTATATGATATTTGCCTAAGCTATAGGTCAGGACAGTACCTGGGTAAAGTGAGATATTGTTTGTACTCAAAATGATAATATAATATGGTAATGCTGATACATGGCCTACGGGGTGAGGTGAAGGCCCCGCTTTACCTTTGCATATATCCCAGCCATACAGCAGATCTCTTTGCATACATGGAAAGTTCTGCTATGCACATTGTATAAAAGGATGAAGAAAAGTGTGCCCTTTGTACAAATACAGTAATGGTGCAATATTATGTTTTGAAGACATAGAAAAAAATAACACAAATTGTACTACAGAAGGTATAATGATAAATGATGGCCTAGGACAACATGAAAACCTTCTGTCATTATACAGGCCAAAGCTTGGATCAGACATATAGGGAAACTACAGCGCCTGTAGATGTAAATGTGCTGGTTTGGTTACATCACAGGATTCTCCCAGCTGTGAAATGGAGTGAAAGAATGAAATGTCATAGTTACAACTTTGTAGCAGGTTCATGGAAGTAAATTGGTATATTTTATACTTTAAATCACTGTGTTTATATGATGCTTTCTATGTCAGACTTAGTATAAGTATTATACAAGTATATTATTTGTAACATTTCCAGAAAGAGCAGGGCCCTCGAACCCCTTGTGTATTGTATTTAGAGATGAGCGAATTATTCAAAAATTCGATTCGGGCCTGATTCGGCGAATTCGCAGAATAAATTCGATTCGAGTCGAATATATTTCGCTGCGAATTTAACTTATAAAAAGGGTGTTTCTAGGCTTCAGAGAGCCTTTATATTAGTGCAGAACACTGTACCTTTAATTTAAATGCCCTTGGAGTCTGCTGGGGAAGAGAAATAATACTGTCAGTCAGTATGACATGCAGATGAGTGCCGTCGATCTTAGAATCACCGCACACTTCACTCATTTGGGCAGTCACGGGGCCAAAAACCTGAGAGTGTGGAGCCACAGTGTGGCGGTGGAGGCAGCAGCAATGGGAGGCCATACAGCACCCTATGAAAAAATGGAACCCACCAGCAGTGTGAGGAGACCTGAAAGTGGCACATGGCAGAGTGTGGCGATGGAGACAGCAGCAATGGGAGGCCGTACAGGGACCCATGACACACTCTGGACCTGGCAGCAGCATGAGGAGGCGGTACAGGGGCCCATGACAGATTACGGGCCTGGCAGCAGCATGAGGAGTCGGTACGGGGGCCCATGGCAGATTACGGGCCTGGCAGCAGCAATGGGAGGCCATACAGCACCCTATGACAAAATGGAACCCACCAGCAGTGTGAGGAGACCTGAAAGTGGCACATGGCAGAGTGTGGCGATGGAGACAGCAGCAATGGGAGGCCGTACAGGGACCCATGACACACTCTGGACCTGGCAGCAGCATGAGGAGGCGGTACAGGGGCCCATGACAGATTACGGGTCTGGCAGCAGCATGAGGAGTCGGTACGGGGGCCCATGGCAGATTACGGGCCTGGCAGCAGCAATGGGGAGGCCCGTAATCTGCCAGCACCCTATGACAAAATGGAACCCACCAGCAGTGTGAGGAGACCTGAAAGTGGCACATGGCAGAGTGTGGCGATGGAGACAGCAGCAATGGGAGGCCGTACAGGGACCCATGACACACTCTGGACCTGGCAGCAGCAAGAGGAGGCGGTACAGGGGCCCATGGCAGAGTGGCGAAGCGTAAGCAGCTTAAATTGAAGGCCATACAGAGAGGCCTATGTTAAAAATAATAACATGTTTGGGGCATGATTCATGGCGGATTTAGTCAGTTGTGTCAGGAACTGGTGGTTTGAAATCCAGACTAATCCACGCCTGATTCATTTTCACAAACGTGAGTCTCTCCCACTTTGGGTGGACAGTCGTGTCCTCCGCGGAGTTACAATACCTCCTGCCGCACTAAACACGCGCTCCGATGCCACGCTACTGGCCGGGCATGACAGCCTTCAAGGGCAAATTCAGCTAGTTGGGGCCAAAGGTCAAGTTCGTTCGTTGCCCAGTAGTCCAAGGGGATTGTCTACCTCGGTTGGCAGGGTGCTGTCCAAGTAGGCCCAAGCCTGTTGTTTGAGGTCCTGCTCCAGGTCCACCTGATGCTGCTGCTGCTGCGGCTGGGTAGGTTAGTAGTTTCCTCACTGCGCTGGTGAAGAAAGCTATTCATCATCGACTGCAGACTGAGGCAGCCGCTGCTGGTGGAGCTGCCACTGCTCCTACCACCCCACCCCTCCCCCTGCTGCCATGGCAGCGGAACGCGAGCGCACAGGGCCCACAGTGTCTGAGGATGGACGTTGGCGCAGAAAGGCAGAGACCAACTGACTACATAGGTGGTTTTTATAGTACGTTATTTTGGCCTCCCTCTCAGCAGGTGTGAAAAAGGCCACCATTTTTGAACGGTAGCGAGGGTCCAACAAGGTGGACAGCCAAAAGTCATCCCTCTGTCTGATGGTTATTATTCGGCTGTCGCTACGCAAGCAACCGAGCATGCTATGGGCCATTTGTGCCAAGGAATGCGAGGGACTCCCTGCCTCCATCTCCACAGCATACTGCCACGGTGCGTCTGGGTCCTCTGTCTCCTCCTCCTCCTCCTCTACCAGATGCTCCTGCTTCCTCCACTCCTGTCCGCTGAGTGGAAAAACCACCCATTTCACTCAATAATTCCTGAGCACCAATGTCCTCCTCTACCTCCTCTCCTCTTCTTCCTGTCCTGCCCCCACAGGGGTCATGTGGCGTTGAGATCTGTGCGCCACGTCTACCGCACCCTGACCAGCCATTGTTAACAGCATTTGTTCCAGACGTGCAACAGAGGAATGACGTCGTTCATCCCATAGTCCTGCCGACTCACGAATAGCGTGGCCTCCTCAAAGGGCCTGAGCAAGCGGCAGGTGTCACGCATGAGCTGCCAATGGCTGACATCTAAGTTACACAGGGGAGTACCTTTATCCGCTTGTAACATCAGGAAATCGGTGATGGCCTTTCGCTGTTCGTAAAAGGCGGTCTAACATATGTAGGGTT